TATATGTCCTTTGAGCAGGTATTGTCTGTCTGACAGATGACGTCCTCTCTCACCTTCACTTCCTCTCGCTCTCTGTGAGCTTCCCAGAAATATTGGAGACTATCGTGCCCCCTGCAAAAAAACCGGGCCATTACCATGACAACCACACTACACTACTGGGATGGGATGTGGATCATGGCAACAGCGGCAGGCAGCCAGACCAACAGCCGGCTCTGCCCCGGGGGGCGAGCCAACCTATGAGTTCCAGGGTTTGGTTTGTGCACAGTGATTTTTATTTCTCATTAAAATCAGCTGTCAGCAGCTCAACACTCAAAGACACCCGGTCCCAAAACAACCACACGAGTCCGAGTGTTGAGCTGCGACAGGATTCACAGGGTTCAGACTCTGGATCAGTTTAAAACCTGTGTTCGTGCTCCAGCTGCTCACACTGAGCGATGTGAGGGAATCGACCGTGTGGTGATAGAAGAACAATCCCCCCCCCTCCACTGTTTCACCTGTGCCCTGGACGACGCCCCCAACGACTGATGACGTGACGGTGTTTCTTAAAAAAGAAAAGTTCAGCTGTGTCGTCAGAGTCATGGACAAACAGCAGCTTCTGAAGCAATGAACGGGATTTATAATCTGCTCCAAATATATGTTACTGATGTTTCTTAAGCTTGTTCAATCTTAAACTTAAACTTATTCAATCTTAAACTTAAACTTGTTCAATCTTAAACTTGTTCAATCTTAATCTTAAACTTGTTCAATCTTAAACTTAAACTTGTTCAATCTTAATCTTAAACTTGTTCAATCTTAATTTTAAACGTGTTCAATCTTAAACTTAAACTTGTTCAATCTTGAACTTGTATCTCAAACTGTTTCTCTCTCACATGCTCCTAACATCAGTTTAGATAGGATACAGATGTTTTCACACCTCATCATGTCAACATCGTCGATCAAAACGCTCTAAACTCACAAAGACAACAAGTTGTTTAAAGCGTCCTCGATCTTCACGACTCTAAAACATACGAACAAACCGAAGTCGGAACAACGACGAGAGTTTGTAACCCACTGATGTTAGCATTCATGCTAGCAGGGGGTTTCACCTCATAGCCACGCCCCCACAGGTTCCGTCATCAGGCTGCAGATGGAGTGAAAAGATGTGACGTCATTTTAAATGGATGGATGATGAACAGGAAGTAGTGAGAACTCACACGTCCATCGTGATGTTGATCTGCAGAGCGACAGCTTCAAGAACTCCTCAGAGGAAGTTCCTGGATTCAAACAAACCTTCACTCGTTCTTCAGCAACATCTGGAGTTCTCCTGAGACACGTCGCACCACACACACACACACACTAACTCACACACACACACACACAGACACACGCACACACACACTAAATCGTAAACACACTAACACAAACACACACGCACGCACGCACGCACACGCACACACTTCCGGTCACGTTGCGTTGGAGCGCTTGAAGTCGTCACCTGTGAGTCCCGGAGGGGCGGAGTTTCCCGGAGGGGCGGAGTTTCCACTGAAACCACCTGACAGACCTTCAGAATAAAGTGTGAATGAAGATGGAGGACAGATACTCTGAGAGATTCATCATTAACGTCCCGTACTCTCACTTTCACGACCTCACGTGGCTGCAGAAGATTTACCTGAGTTTCATATTTTATTTAAGTTTATTTAAAAAATAGAGGAGGTCGCCTCCTGGTGGCTGGCTGACGTACAGCTCATAAACCCTGTCTCCTCCATGTTAGCAGCTAGTTTGTATCACACTGACGTTCAACTGCTCATGTCTCTGATCAGGTAGAGTAGTGGTACGGAAGAGTAGCCAGAGGGTCGGCGGTTCGATTCCCAGTCTCCTCCATTCTGCCTGCTGAAGTGTCCTCGGGCAAGGTGCTGAACCCAAACAGTCCCTGATGGTTGTGCCGACAGTGAGTGGACAGACGAACCCTCAGGTGACGTCACCGAGACACTGGAGACATTCAGGTGTCCACATACTTTTGGCCTCATCGTGCAGATATTAAACGAGAACGTGAATCGTTGTGGAACCTTTAGATCGAGAACATCGAGCAGGGGAAGATTCTGAGCTTCTCACAGAACTTCAGATTCATGTGCATGAAATTTCTTCCAGCCTAACGCAGACAGACGTCAACAAAGGTCACGACCTTTTGAAGAGGAAGGAGAGGACACAAACTGAATCTGTGTCGTTAAGTGAAGATTTATTTCTGCAGCAGTAACCTTTCAGACGAGACGAGTTCTTCAGCCACAGAGCAGGAGGATGTGAGCGGCTCAACAAAGAAACAAACAAACCCTGGTTCGATGACTTCCTGCAGAACCTGCCTCTGAAGAGAGATCAGCTGTTTCTGCTGCTTCAGTCTGAAACGTATTCACCGCTCATTATTCTCAGAGGCAGGAGAGGAAATGAAAGATTGTTGTTATTGTTGTTATGATGATACATCGTCCTTTCATTCTGGAGAAACTCCTGCAGGGCGAGAAAACCAGCGAGAGCGAGCCGGCGTAATCTGAGGGAGAAAGAAGGTAATTAGCAGGAGGATCTCCACCCTCTTCATCCGGCGCCCTCGTACGTCTGTAAATAAACAATTAAGATGTGGAATTCAAGATTATGGAAAGTTGCTTGTGCTGCTGAGTTATTCACCGTCTCCACACTTTGAATGTTCCTCTGCTGTTTGAACTGGAATCATTTCACAGGTTTACAGTCAGAGTTCACAGAGATCATGTGCAGGAAACATTTAAAGGTGCAATAATTATAATAATAATAGTATGATAAAGATAATATGACAAAGCACAGCGGAATAAAAGTATTAAGTCTGACGATGTAGAAGTAAAGATACAAAAAGTGTATCTGGAGTGAATACAGAACCGGTGCCTCCCAGAGATAACAGAGAGAAGTGGGACAAAAAACTAATATTAAATTAAAGTGGTCGTAAGTCAAAAGTAATAATAGAATAAAAATAAGTTCTGGTTCTTCACAAGAAGCTGATTTAAAGCAGGAGCTCGTCTGAGGCTTCTGATTCTGACGAGTCCCGACAGATTTCCTCGTCTCTTCACCATCGGACAGAATATTCAGACAGAGCATGATTTATGAGGAGACTTTACTCCCGTGTTGTATCTCGACGTTTTCTTTCTCTTTAACGCTGAGCTCAGCGGACGGATGATGTGATGGAGGCCGAGCTGAGGAACCCAGATTCAGTGAAGAACCTCGTCCTCAATGTGTTCGCTCGCTTTATTGATCTTTTTTAATACTTGAAATATAAAATATAAAAGTACTGAGTGTAACTTATTCCCCTGATGTAACGGTCGACTGCATCATTCTGTGATGCTGCTGCAACAGGAGGCGGGGTCTAATGTGACCTGCCCACTCTGATTGGATCAGAGTTTGATCTTCAAACTGTTTTTATTATGTGTCCCCTGTCAACCAGTGACAGCAGAGAGCTTCCTGTATTATGGGATTACAAATTCATCAAAACTGCACACGGCCATCTCAGTTACAAAG